ATAAACTAAAGAGGTGGAGTTCAGTATATGAGAGCTTTCTCTTCTGGAGAACCAATTTCATTTTCAATTAATACTTATTTATTCAATTTCTGCAGCCACCCATCTCAATCAATGATTGGGCAGTTATAGTTCTAAAATTATAAAAACAATTAAAACAATGTTTTAAAACAACAAACACATCCAAAAGGGAATCATGTAGTAACAGATAATTAACCAGTTAGCCAAGAAACAAGGCCCTTAGCATATTGAGAGCCCCAGTCTCAGTTACACTTATCATACATTTCTTACTAGTTCTCAGTTGTTCTATTTTTTTTCCTGTAAAAAAGGATACAAAGACGACAATTTTGGAGAAATACTCATGGATAGGTGATACCAGTGGTGGGATTCTGCTGGTTCTAGGTGGTTCGGTGTTTTTTTGTAATTTTATTGGCCCGGGGAGCTTCAGCATAGGCTAATTAGCCGTTGATTAGATCAGCGTCCCGACTCTCAGCTGATTTGGTCTCAGCTGTTTTGCTCAGGACTCTGCTGCTTGCTTGCAAAGAGTGCTTGAGCAGATTTCTTTCCCCTAACTATGCTGAAAAACAAAACAAAGTAAAGCAGGTTGTTGGCTTTGTTGTTTTGCAACGTTGGAAAATTAGGCAGGCAGATTTTTCTTTTTCCTCACCAAAAAAGGTAGGTGCAAAACTGCAAACAATGGGAAATTTAGGGCAAAAGAGGAGGTTCAAGATTTTAAAACACAAAAGAAAAAAAGCTATTTAACTAGGGAATTGTAATAATTGAGATACTATTAATTGTATACTGTGTTGAAAGCAGAAATGGTTAAGTTGTGGTTTGGATATATGGGGGAAATTATTTGGGGGAAATTATTATTATTGGTAAATATAATTAATTGATTTGTAAGAAATTGGATTGCATGGAAATAATTGGAATATTCATGTTCATATTGATTAATATACAAAAAAGATAGTTATATAACTAATTGATTTATATTAAAATGTTGAATTTATATTAAACAACTGTAATATTACATAATTAACCAATGTGAGAATGGATATAAAAATAGATGACAATGGGAAGGGGTATAATATAGAATAGAAGGAAAAAATTGAATTTGATTTAAGATTAGAGATGAAGATGAAGGGTAGTATTGGTTTTTTTAAAAAATAGATAAGGAATAAATATGGCAAAAAGGAAATATAGAAATTGTAAATTTAATTGAAATGACTAAACACTGTTTAAATTTGTGAACCGGCCAAATACTCTGTTCAAAGAAAATAAATTGTATGTTTGTATGTGTGTTTCTAATTATTGCTATTTATTCATATTTGTTCTCTCTTATTCTTTAAAGTTTAACAATTCATTCTTTATCTTAATATCTTTATATTTGTTTGGGGTTGGCTTTCTTCCATTTCATCTTTTTACTGTACAGCAATCTTTCTCCTCAAACCTACCACTTCTCTCTTTTCTTTCCTTCTTACTTTCTTTCACCCCCCCGCTTCTTCTCCTCCCTACTTCATCTTCCTTTCTCCTTCTCCTCCTCCCTTCCTTCCTCTCTTACCCTCAACTCCTACTCTAATTTCCCTTCCTTCCTCCCTTCTCTTCCTAACCTCTCTCTTTCTTTCTTCCATCTCTCTTCTCCTTCCTTCATCCCACTCTATTGCTGTATCCTTTTGTGCATATGGATTACTCAGAGGGCTGAAAAAGTTATTTTTGACTGGTCCTCGCACTTTTGACCACTCCTCGAATTTACGACTGTCCTCACATTTTACGTTTTTCGTCCTATCTTGTCACCATGGTGAAGAGAAGCAGTTGTGAAATGAGTGACACGGTTGTTAAGAATGCTACAATGGGCATAAATGATGACCAGTCATAAGGGTGAGGACCGGTCAAAAGTGTGAAGACCTGTCAGAAATCACTTTTTTCAGCCCTCTGGGTAGTCCTTTTGTGCATATGGACTATTCAAAGGGCTGAAAAAGTTATTTTTGACTGGTCCTCACACTTTTGACCAGTCCTTGAACTTACGACTGTCCTCACATTTTACGTTTTGTGCCCTATCTTGTCACCGTGGTGAAGACAAGTAGTGGTGAAATGACTGACACGATTGTTAAGAATGCCGCAACGGGCATAAATGTGAGGATGGTCATAAGTGCGAGGACCAGTCAGAAATGACTTTTTTCAGCCCTCTGAGTAGTCCCTATGCACATAGCCACGCCCGCCCGGTCACATGACCAGCTAGCCATGCCCACCCAGTCACATGACCAAGCCACGCCCCCAACTAAGCCACGCCCACAGAACCAGTTGTTAAAAAAATTGAATCCCACCACTGGGTGATACTGTACTTAATTTGCTTCAAGGTGGTAAAAATGGTGTGTGTAGATTGAATGCTGTCTTTTATTATGCAGCTTTTCTCTTCCTTTTTTTTTTCCAGGTTTCAGTTACATCCCAAAGAAAGACTGCAAGGGATTTTCTCCCCCAGCCCCCGAAGCTTGGGAGACTTCAGTGTTGGAAAGATGGGTAACAGAAAGCAAAGCCTGCACCCTCCATTGCTTCCAATGGTAGAATAACAAAAAGTATCACCATGGAAGTATAAGATAGGGCAGTGGTGACAAACCTTTTACGCACTGAGTGCTGAACAGGTATGCACTTCGTGCATGCTATCCACACTAACGCATGGCTCCTCCCCCATGCGCTGCGCACACAACTGCACCATCTAAGCATGTGCATGGCAGTTGCGTGTGCCCTCATGCGCTGCACATTCAACCACACCATCTGTGCATGCGCAGTTTTCGTGTGGCTCCATGCGCTGCACACATAATCACACCATCTGTGCATACGCAGGTTTCAAGCGGCTCCCGTGCTCTGCGCGCACAATAACACCATCTGTGCATGTGGTTTTTGTGCACGCAATGCAGTGAGAACGCCATCTATGCATGCGCATGCTGCGCAAAGTACTCTTACACGCATGCGCAAATGCGCATACCTGCAGAGAGCTCCAAAGACCAGTTGGGTCCCCTGAATTGCACACATGCACACCGTAGGCCCGAACAGGTGGGAGGTGCGTACATGCGCAGGTGAGTTGGGCGACAGCTCGCGTGCCTGGAAAGATGGCTCTGGATGCCACCTCAGGCACGTGTGCCATAGGTTCGCCATCACAGAGATAGGGAAATGTACTAATAAAGGAGAATATTTGTAGCTCAGGTTTGACATGAGGGGTCCTTAGTGCTCCGAGTTTGTTTTCTTGCAGACATTTCATTACCCAAACTACGTAAAATCATCAGTGCTAAACTAGCACTGATGTTATCTCGTTTGGGTAATCAAACATCTTCAAGAAAACAAGCAAACTCAGAGAGCACCAAGGATCCCTCATTGGGAAATGTACTATTGATTGCTTGTTCCATTACTGTTCATAGGTGATCCTAAGAGACAGAAGTTATCTACCATGTCATTAAGTGAATGGTGCAGTCATTAAGCAAACCCACTCATATGAATTAATTTATTTGCTAGAAACTGGAAAAACATGAATTGTAGCTAGGTGACCATAGAAGGTTGCAATGAGTCATTAAGCTAACCGGTTTGATATGCAGTCAAATTGTGTGTGTGTGTGTGGGGGGGGGAGTGGCACAACCATATACAATGGCCAAGGGGTGCTTTACAGACTATAAAACATCCATTCAATGGCTGTAGTAACATGACTGGTCTTAAGTCAAGGACTTCCTATAATAAACAAAATTGCCTTCACTATTCTTTTGGACACAACCAGGACCAAACTCACCTATTGCTTTCTTTGGCTAACCCTATCGGACCCAAACTGACCCTCCCAACTTTCAGAGGAAGCTCCCTGCAATCAGAAGGAAGCAAAGAATAGAAGTCTCACTCACCTGCTCATAGTACAGCCTGAAGTTAGCCCTAAGAAAGGAACTGCAACAGTAATAAATAGCTCCCAGTTAGGCGTATGAATTTTTCATGAGGGCAATAAGATGGTTAGCATAAAAACCTTTCTATAGCCAATGAAGCACATACTGACTTCTTTTGGGTAGCCTTTGGCTTTCACAATTTCCCAGTGTTCATTAGAAGTAACACATTGTTCCTTAACCTTTAATAAACCCAAGTTAGAACATACATTGTCTAAATTAATTTTTTCAGCAATTTTTTATGTTGTTAGTTGTAATTAGTCATATACCTGGCACTTGGCATGTAATTATGACTGCAGCATCCCACAGTCACATGATCAATATTTGCAACCTTTTCTGCTGACTTCTGCCAGCAGTCACTGGAGAAGCTGACTGGAAGTTGCAAGTCATGGTCACATGATGTCATACTTTATGCCCACACAATTCGCTTAATGACCACAACTGGAACTTATTCTCATTATTACTTTTTTGCTTTATGCCTCTGTTGCTGGTCCCAATTTTAGTCATTAACTAAGGACTACCTGTAGTTCCTTTCTGTATAGATAATATTGTTTGGACTGAGGCAACTGGTTTTGTAGTCGTTTATATGACTAGTCTACAGCTTCAGACTGTCCAGTTTGCAAAAAAGTAAAAATAAAAAATAGCATTTTTGCATTATCCAGTTACAATTTTTCTGTTTACTATTTCGGATTTTGTTATGGAAAGATCCATACCCTGTGAATATTTTACAGAACAAAATAGGGTGAAGATCCCAAACACTAAAACTAGGTATTGAGGGACCCCTCCCCCCCAAAAAAAATCAAGCTTAGCGTCTGTATCTGAAAGATAAATGTTAAGAATATGTTGAAGAATAAGCATAAAATTCTGTAAATGTTATGTTCTTCAAGGTTCCAATAGATTTTCTCTAAATCCTGCTTGGGTAAATATAACATTTTACCCTAAAAAAAGCATGAATACTTAAATAAATATTTTCTACTTTAAAACACTTCATTAAGTAGTGTTCTGAGTAACACTACTAAGAAAGAAATTAAATCAGTCCTGTTCTCATAAGACCAAAATTAATACACAAAAATTACTAATATCAGAATAGTCATTTCATATTCAACTTTAATATAAAAAGATATTAGTCACTTCCAAATGTTTAAGAAAGATCTCCTTACAAATTGTGTGGTCTGGCACAAAACTGAATTACAAAATTAGACAGTACTTGCCAAGATTAAAAAACATACAGTGCTATTTTCAAATTAGCTGTTTCAAAAGCACTTAAATTATTAAGGCCACAGTCATGAAGCTACTTTCTTATAAGCTGCCCCATTAAATCTCAGGAAGGGATAATCATGCAAAATGGTCTTAAGTTCTAATATATAAACCAAGACAAAGACATTTAATGATGTACACAGAAGACATGGATCTTTATGCATAGAGCAGTTGCTTTAATTGTGCATAATGAACCTTACTGGTTTAAAGAGTTAGGGTTAACTTCCTTTACACAAAGATATACTGCATCTATGACATGCTGGGAGAAAATGTGTCCAATATTTTGAAATCTATATTTGATCTAGGCATCACCAGAGAAACCATTTTCAAAGAATTTATTTTAAACAAGCAACCAATCCAATTTTAATCACAGGGAACAAATGCAAATTAGCTAAAATTGCCTGTGATGGTAATATATTGATATTGAAGCAAATGTTTCTTTCTCAAAATAATTATTTAGTACTTTTTTTTTCTCATCTTGCAATTGTTTTACCTATATCGCCAGTTAACAAGGAAAAAAATTCAGCAATTTATTATAAATGGTATGCACTAGGATTTTTAGTAGATAATTACATGCATGTGAATGCATGTTTCTTTTAAATAATTTGCTGAGATAATATGTTTATAAGGACTCACAGGAATGCACATTTACAGACTGGCAAATAGAACAATTTAAGTTTGGAGAACTCAAAGGCCTCTGTAACAGTTGGTTAGTAATTAGTGCAATAAAGGGGTGCTTTCCCCTAAATATAAAAGTAAATGGTAAACTTCAGCCAATAATTTGTTTGATGGCATAGCTATATAAATATTTATAAATAAAACCCATATAATTTATGCTTGAAGATAACAAAAACATGGCTTGAACTGAAGTTTAAATGCATCAAGAGTTCCTGAAGCCTATTGGAAGCTCTTCCTCAGATGTTTAGGTTTCAAGAATAACTTGATCTCTAATACTCTACTTCAAGGCTGAATGCTGATAATAGCTCAGCTTGTAGTTAACAATTACACATACTTCTACTGTACTGCACTATGCAGGGAAAGTCAGTTATAAGGGAGAAAAGTCCCTTTTTTCAAAACAATTAAAAAATACAACTGCAAATATTTCAAGATATTAAATAAGCAGTTTTGAGACAGAATTCATAGCAAAAATATATCTTCAGAAAATAGCTATAATATTCTGAACACTGATACTTTTTTTTAAAAAAAACCTATAATTTTAAAAAGAAACAAGACTAGGAAAATGAGAAATAGCTGCTTTACAATTTTTCAAGAGCTCATGTGGTAAATAATCTTACAGAATATAGTATTTGTGTGAAACTAAGGAGGGAAAAATGAAGCATTTTGTCTTTATACCAAATTAATTCCATAAAACAAAACAGCAAGTTTCTTAATTTGAATTAAATTGAAATTATTCTTAATGAATAATTTTTGTTGGGCTAGGCTGCAACTTAGTCCCTTGAGTAAGGTGATATCACTAGAAGCGATGCACTGAAATTTTCAGTTCCTCTGGGGTGGTTAAGAAAATACTTCTGGGAAATAATGTACTCAAGTTGACCACTTTGCTTCTGAATTTCAGTGGTATAATCTCAAAGGTTCTGGTAGGCTGCAGGAATCACGCCTAAACTAGACATTATGGGATTTGATTTCATTTGTGGTATTTTAAGGACTGGAGTGTCTTTAACAATTGCACCCTACAGTTATGAGATAGGCAAGAAAGAAGAATCCTGATATACTAATTTGTCCCTTAATATTAGAAGGGCCTCCTGATAAGTTAGGCCCCAAAAATAGAAAAATGCATGGTCAAAATAGAGAGTACATGATTACACCTAGAGATCTTTTGACATGCCAGTGTACTGCTGAAAATTAGGGAGTTTCCAAAGTAATTTGCAATATAGAATGGGTTGTAGTAGATTTAAATTGATTTTTAAAGTTTGGGCTCTTGACAATTTAAATGTATGCTTTTGATTATCTCTGAACTGTGGCCACTAAAATATATACTTAACAAGACTGAACACTACAAATTATGGGTTAATTTTATAAATTAACTCAATTTTGCAAAATGATGTGAATTGGGGGCAAGTCGGTAAGGGAAGATCACATCCAGATTTAAGAGAACAAAATATCTCAAGTTTTATTGTTTACAACCTAGCTTCTTCAAGGGATTTTTCTTAGTTTCAAGATTCAACCAGAATCTCTACAAAATGATCAAGCTCATTAAGATCAGACTTACAGTTAGAATTAGAATTTGTGGCTCCTTGAGGAAAGGTTTCAAGAACATCACAGTGTCCCATTTTTGTATTGCCCATCATTCCTGTTAATACAGTATCAAGATTGTAATAAGAACTGTCAACTTCTGAAAAAAGATCTTCAACAGCGTCAGAAGTTTTAGTTTCTAAGGTTTCAAATATTTGATCTAATGACGATTTATGGAAGTTTACTCTATTTTCTGGAATGCTATCCATCTCCCACACGTTTCCCTGCAAGCTTCTGGATGCTTGTAGTACAGCAGGCCTTAAGATGTCTACATTCTCTTGTGACTGTGTGTCCTCAAAATTCTTAGAGAAACCACTATATTCTTGAGCAAGCTTTTCTTCAGTTTGCTCTTTGGAAGAACGGCAGAGAATATCTGTTGAAACAAGACGGTCCAGAGAGGCTGGTCCTGTACTCTGAGGACTTATCATCTGCCAGCTTCCATCTTGAGTCATTTCTTCTTGGATCTGCCGTACTGTATTGGCTATAAGCACTGAACGATACAGATTAGGTTCAACAAGCATGTGGCAGAGCTGAAGTTTTACCAATGACATGTCTAGCAGTGACTGGCGCTGAAGGTTATACGAAGGAATAGCTTTAAAGCCAGTAAAAGTTCCTTCAATATCATCTTCACCTTCAATGCATTTCCTCTTCAGTCCACGTACAAACATTGTGTCCTAGTGAAAACAGAAAAATATCATTAGTTAACCATCTTCTAAAAAGGCTTTGCATTTTAAATGAAAGTTGTTTAGCATAGTGGATGAAAAAATATTTTAGATGCTAAGAAAACTTTTGACAATTTGAATTGGCAATTTTTGTTTAAAGTTCTAGAAGGTATGAATTTTATTAAAGGAATCAAGTTAATATATGAATCTCTAAAAGCCTGAATCATAGTTAATGGTGTTTTGACTAAATCATATGACATATACTATATCTAATGTGATTGTAGAAATATTGTCAACAAATGTTAATTTTGAAGTAAGTTTGATATATTTTTATTCATAACCATACTAAACAAAGTCAGAAATCATTCTTTTTCTATTTTCTTTTCTTTCTTGCACCTTTATCTTTCTTTCTTGATCTTTTTTCTTTTAAAAATCTTTTCTTTCTTGTCTTTATCTTTTAACTTTTTGTATTTGAAAATCAGTAAAGTTAAAATGAAAGCAGTTTGGATATACAATTAATAGATACATACCTTCACTCTGAAAGTAGAATGTCTATATAGAGGTATAAATATTTTCTTAGTTAGCAATAATGTATAGCAGGGGTGTCAAACTTGATTTCATTGAGGGCTGCATCAGAATTATGTTTGGGGGGGGGGAAGGGAAGGGCTGGCCAGTTTGACATCACTCATGTCAGGGGTGCCAGTGGTGGCCTGAATACTCTGCCACTGAAAACGGGCTCCCAAAATCCGTTTTCAGCTGCAACGGAGGAGGGAAGGGGGGGGAGGAGGGATGGGAAAAAATTGTTGTAATACTTGTTAAAACTTTTTAATAAAAAAAGAAAAAGAAAAAAGGCAACACCAATGGCAAAGCACTTCCAAAATCTTGCCAAAAAACCTGCATGGATGTGACAAAGCAGATGCCAGGAGTCAGCCCTGACTTGAAAGCTCCAAAAAAAAAAAAAAAAAAGTCATTTATGAATTCATTCATGCAGATTCTTATTCCTGCACAGAACTCCATTCCAAACCTTCAAAATTTAAGATATTGATGATACCCCATCTTCCTTGTGCAAAATTTTTTTTAGCCTAAAGATGTATGATCAATTTTCCCCGTGACAATTAATTTCCATCAAAAGACAATATCGTATTCAGGATTTAGGCAAGAAAAACAAAATACACAGGTACATTATATGTGGTACCTCGCTCAATAGTAGTAACTGTGAGAGAGATTTTGGAGTCCTAGTGGACAACCATTTAAATATAAGCCAGCAGTGTGCAACAGCTGCCAAAAAAGCCAACACAGTTCTAGGCTGCATAAACAGAGGGATAGAATCAAGATCATGTGAAGTGTTAATACCACTTTATAATGCCTTGATAAGGCCACACTTGGAATACTGCATCTAGTTTTGGTCGCCACGATGTAAAAAAGATGTGGAGACTCTAGAAAGACGGCAGAGAAGAGCAACAAAGATGATTAGGGGACTGGAGGCTAAAACATATGAAGAACGATTGCAGGAACTGGGTATGTCTAGTTTAATGAAGAGAAGGACTAGGGGTGACATGATAGCAGTGTTCCAATATCTCAGGGGTTGCCACAAAGAAGAGGGAGTCAAGCTATTCTCCAAAGCACCTGAGGGCAGGGCAAGAAGCAATGGGTGGAAACTAATCAAGGAGAGAAGCAACCTAGAACTGAGAAATTTCCTGACAGAACAATTAATCAGTGGAACAACTTGCCTGCAGAAGTTGTGAATGCTCCAACACTGGAAGTTTTTAAGATGATGTTGGAAAACCATTTGTCTGAAGTGGTGTAGGGTTTCCTGCCTGGGCAGGGGGTTGGACTAGAAGACCTCCAAGGTCCCTTCCAACTCTGTTATTCTGTTCTGAGTACCTGTATTATTTTTTCACCATAATACTATCGTAGACTAATACCACAATTATGACCACAATTGAGCACAACGTTTCTGTTGCTAAGGGAAGACAGTTAAGTGAGTTTTGCCCCATTTTAGGACCTTTCTTGCCACAGTTGTGAAGTGAAGCACTTCACAACTGTTTTTAAGTGAATCTGGCTGCCCCATTGAGTTGCTTGTCAGAAGGTCACAATCTGATATAAAATTCCAAGACATTCATAGCCAATATCACCTATAGTTAGAGTGATCCTAGAAACTGCCCCCAATATACCAAAAATGACTTAGGTTATTGAAGACAAGAATCAGCATATGAAATTGCTATTAAAGGAATAAATAATTGATTAGAAAGAAAGAATTCTGAGCTGTGCAATTCAAATACTGAACTAGGATAGAGAAGACCGGGTTCAAATCTATCTTTATTCATGGAAATGTACTCTTGATTTCTCAGCTAGTCAAGTCCAACCTTCCTCAAGAGTTATTACTTAGATATAACCCTCCTTCCTCCTCCCCATCACTAAGGGGAATTGGACTATGATGTAGAAAGAAATATTTGAAGAGGACAACAAAAATATTTTAGTATTTTAATATAGGTAATTCTGACTTAATTCATTCAGCAATTGTTCAGTTACAATAGCACTGAATGAATAGCATTTGTGACCAGTCTCCAAAATTATGGCTGTTGCAGCACCCCTGTGGTCATGTGATCAAAATTTAGGCTCTTGGCAGCCTCTCTGCATTTATGACCACAGAGTGCGCTTCATGCTATGGGGGAGGGGTGGCCCAGTACAGACTATGAGCAAGTGAAGGGGGATGGGGAGGGGCAATGCAGGCTGTGTACAGAAGAGAACTAGGGAAAGAAGGGCGCAGCTTAATGCAAGTGCACAGAAGCTTGGGAAAGCAGGGTCCCACGCAAGTGCAGGGAGACAGGGCTTACCGGAATGACTTGGGACCTTCCCTGTTGGCTTCCTGATTGGTTTTGCTAGTGGGTAGCTGGCAGGGAAGGTCTTAAATGATGAACATGCGACTCGGGAGGGCTGCAACAGACAGAACTTCAAGGACTGGTCATAAGTATTATTCATTCATCAACCATGTAACTTTGAATAGGCACTGATCTAACAGATCTAAATATCAGAAAGCGTTGCAATATAAAGACAAATACAGTCCTTTTTGCATTACATTTAAACAGACAAAGAAATCAGGGTAATAAATTAACACGGGGTCCCCAACGTCTGGGCTGCGGCCCACTAGTGGGCTGTGAACTATTTGCAACCGGGACGCAGAAATGGCAAGCGTATGCATCCTTACTTGGATGAGCAGCGGGAGAGTATGTGCATGCACAGTCCATTTGCGTGAGCGGTGGGCATGCGTGCATGTTGTTCGCACAGAACCATCCTCTCTCCCAGTCCGCAAAGCCAGAAAGATTGGGGGAACTCTGAATTAACACGTCAGATTTTTGGATTAGAAAAGCAACCAGTCAGGATTTTTAAAACTATGTTGAAACAAACTTTTGTATGTGCAAAAAACAAAGTCTAATCATATAAACTAAAAACATACATTATATCAATGAGAAATTGACATATTGTGATATGCAAGTTTATAAGTACAACTTCTGCTCCTATGGGAGAGATCCAACAATAATTGCTAAATGTATTTTTTAATTGTTGACTTCCTCTGCTCATTGGGTGTGGAACTGTTACTTCGCTCTTTTCCACTATACCGAAAAATATACCATTGTTTCTATTAGTGATATATAGAACAAAAACTAGGATCTAGCATGAGTAACAGAATGAAAACTAAATTTTTTGCTTTATGATGCTCCGAGAACCAAGTCTATGTAGGCATGAAAATATGACACCAGTGATAAAGTAACAAGTAATTGTTTAATCCATTTTTCTTCAGCTTCTATACATTCATTCTTTTTAGTGAAAAACCTTTATCCCTACATTATTTATTACTTACCAATAATGGTGCTTGATGCAGTCCTTCCTCTTCTCCCATTTTATAGAAGATTCCATACAGCAGGTGGTCTAGCACCACCTACCTGAGACCAGTAAGAAGTGTATTCAGTAATTAAATAAAGTATCTGGCATACATTGTGGGACTTCCGCTGTTCCTATGAACAAAATAATATAAATAAAAGTATGCTAACTATTTCCTTTAGTTATGGTTATATTATGTGTTTCATGGAGCATTTACATTCAAAACTTTCTTACAACTACTAAATAAGAGAGGTCAGTATTATTCCCAAATTGCAGTTTGGGAGTGGAAGTCAATGTAGCAGAGAGGAAAGCCACGTAGTAACTTCTGTGGAAAGATGCTAAATAGAGACTTTCTAGTTTGAAACTCAGTCCAACAAAACACTGCATAGATTTCCTGCAAGAAATTCATTGTGATAACTGAAAATGTCTTCTATACATCTATATCAAGCGTGAAATCCAGCAGGTTCTGGAGAACCGGCAAATACCACTTCTGGCTGAGGTCCCAGAATGGGGTGGGAATGGAGATTTTGCAGTATCTTTCCCCTGCGATGCCCACCAAGCCACACCACGCCCACAGAACTGGTAGTAAAAAAATTTGGATTTCACCACTGATCTATATGTACATACACACATACACAGTTGAATCATGTTTTAGGTTGCTACTCGTTAGTTGCATACAGGGTGAATTTGATTTAAATCAACTCGATTTAAATAATCTTTAAAGAGCAACTGTCATCTGTCCCACAGCAGCTCCTCCTGTCCCACTGTTGATTCACCGACAGTCCCATTCACTTTAATGGGAGGGCTGGTGATGCGGCAGTGACACAACAAGGTGGCAGGCAGCAGGTGAGTGGATGCCCACTAACAGGCGCTGCTATGATGGATCTGAAATGATACACGCTCTTTAATATTATATTTATAAGATGCTTAGAAGGTTTCACTTTCATTTTTACTGCTTGCCCTTCTTCCTCACACTTAGAGCCTGGTGGTACAGATGCATTTCTCTTCAATCATACAGTTTGTAGTGTATGTAGATTTGCAAAACAATGGGATAAAGGAATATTCCTGAACTTTGCTTTATGATTTATCTCATGGTTACTGTGAAATTGTGTGAATGCATCAATGCAGTGTATCTCAGCTTGCAGAGCTTGGATTCATTGAGTTTACAAAATGTAAATATTGCAGAATATATAGCCTCATGCTACATAATTTAGCTCCATTTCATGCTGAATAAACTAAATTATTAAATTACCTTAAATAGAAAACTATCTTTAGATTTTTACTCCAAAAGCATTTGATTAAATAAATTTGATAAAAATAAAAAAATCTGATTTAAATTTTAAAAAATTGATTTAATTTTTTAAAAATTGATTTTTATCCACCCTGTTTGTAGTCTTAAATGAACTGAAAAATATTACCCACTTTTCCAAATTATATTACTGCAGCACTAAAAGACACAACTATTCATAACCATAGCTTTATCAACCATTTAAATTTTAAAACTTTAAGGATATTGATATTACCAGTTTCTCTTAGAAAATATACCATAGTTACTATGGACTGGGTTCAAAGAGTATTTAGCAAGTAACTGAGGTGAAAAAGCATATTTAAAACTAGCTGAGGAAAAAAAAAATCTAGAATGATTTTTTTGAGCAAAACCATGATGAAAATATAAGATAAATTTTATTGACCTGATCAACTAAAGAACTGACAAATATTAGTCATAGATTTAACATGATTATGGAAATTGGCTTTTTGAAAATCAGTAGAATATCTAGGGATGTGTGGAATCTAGTGATTAAAAAGTGGGATGAAGATGAGGATTATGATATAACAATGGATTACATTGATGCATGAAAATAAATCTTATACCATAAATGCAATGAAAAAAGGTGAGCTGGAAGGTTAACATAAAAAGCTAAAGTACCAAATTATTTAGCAGTGAGTAGACTAATTATAAAACTGATATGTTAAGAGCTATTGCAGAAGGGGTATTTTAAGGAATTTAAAGTATTGCTTAGAATTACCAGGGTTATATTGCTGGATCCCAGAACAATGTTGTTGGCTGTGATTTTTTTATTCCTAAATTTATTATACAATGTAAACCACAATAGAAGGAAAGTATTTAAACAAGTATTTTATTATTAAAAAGATGATGAGCAGTGAAAGGCTTAATTAACAATTATGACTGGTACAGAAAAATGGATAATATAGTAATAAAACTGAGGTACAATGGTTCTAACACAGGCAAAATTACTACCCTATTGTTTTTTTCTCCTTTTAACATAAAAATAGTACAGTGTATTTTAGAACAGCTTTATTAAATGTTGGTGAGGATATATTCATTCAGATGTAACATTATAAACCTAGCATCCTTTCCCCTCAGTTCATATACTTCCTGTTGTATGCAGGAATTCTGGCAGATTTCTATTTCTGATTAATAAGTTAGGCTATCCTGTTCTGTGAAACTATTGAGTTTAACAAAATTTTATGAAAGGCAGCTAAATCCAAAGCATTGTTTGTGGCGTGTTTTCTAACTTTACAGTTTAGGAGCTGAAAATATTAAAATAATGTCAAACAGATGCAAAAGCTAATTTTCTCAAAACAGCTCCAATAATGTTCAACCACAGACATGAGTCTGTTTCAACACAGATGGGAGACAAAGGATACCTAATCCTATCCTGAAAAATAAAGCAAACTCATGAACTCCACTTTTTGTTAAAACCCACCTTGTCTTTGTAAAATCTATAAAAAGGTGAACCATATTGCACAAGAATCTTTTGGCATGTCACTTGAAACTTCAATCCATCAATCCATCAATCCAAGAGGGGAAATACGTGTGCCACATTTCCTTGTGTGAAATGTTTGTTGGGATAAAAAAAGTTACGACCAAGAAAAAGTACTTCCAAGTTTTAATGGGAACGGATTAGAAAGAAAAAAGGAATGTAACTAGGCAACACAAAACAGATGAAAATAAACCTTTTCTATCGAGAGGCAGAAGAAAATAACTGTAGAAAGCAATGTGACAAAGTTGCTTGTGTGAAAGCATAGGAAAGTTGCCTGTGAAAGACCAGATGGTGAAAGTTCTGAAAGCGGATGGGATGGAGAAGCAGAATCTGAAAGCACTTTTGAGAGTCGGGGAGGCAAAGAGAAAACAAATCAGAAGAGAATTCGGCAGTGACCCTAAAAAAAGTACCCGAGAAGAAAACAATATACAACGGCCTTTCTTAAAACACTCCCAGACGAGTAGGAACTTTGTTATTTCCTAGTGAGTATGACTAATAACCGCGCTGGTTGGGAATGATGGGGACTGTATTCCCACATTTAAAAGATTTTCAAGTAGATAAAGGAATTGAGAGAGACGCGACAGGAGGGAGCCAGAGGCGTATGGAGGAGCTCCAGAGGAAAAGTAGCCGATTGAAAAAAGTGACTTGAAACAAGAAGAAAACTCGCTAAAGCTGCTATGGGGCGCCGGGAACGAGGGAATGATTCATCCCCTCTCCATCTCCACGGCCGCCATTTTGGAGCCACGGCTCAGCGATCCCGCGCGGGTCCTTCTTCCTCGGCTAGCTCAACCACGTTAATTTCCTCCTTTTGCCTCTCGGATTTCGAAACTGGCGGCTCCCTCCTTCCTTTCCCACCGCGACCGTTTCTCCCGTACCCGCTTACCCGCTGACGAAAGCCGACTGCCGCGCGGAGAGCCCGCTCCTGCTTCAATGATGTCGGCGCCTGAGAAAAAGGGGAGGGACCAACGGCTGCGGAAGCCCCTCCCCCTTTCTTCCAGCTCCCTACTCTGGCCATCTTTTGTAAAACTCCACAAAGAAACGAAAGCCCCGCCCTAGATATCGACTCGGACTTCCCATTGGGAGAGAGGAGGCATCTGGGCAACTTGTGAGCCCGCCCAGTACAACTTTAGCTTCCCATTGGGCAGTAAGCGAGGGAAATCCTTTCTTCTGAGATCAAATGTTCTATTAACCGGAGGAGTGCTGGGCTGCTTACTCTCCCTGTGGCCCCTCCTTCTCGTTGTTTTATACAGGGCTTACCATTGGGGCTCAAAGTTACTACGGTATTCAGCCCCGCCTCCCCGCGGTTAGCGGCCGGGTCTGTACAGGCGAAATTTTTTAAAAAAATCTGCCCAAGGCCGGCGGGGTCCTTGGTCATCACGGAGGCCTTGGCGCGGTTCCTTGGGCGCCAGTCTCCTGAGCTCGGCGGGACTGATGGCCTAATAGTCCTCCTGTTTCGGCTTTTCGTTCTGTGACACCCCAATAAGCCTGCTTTGTTTGTGGCCTCCGTGTAAAGCCATTAAGTGGGAGAAAATTACCCATGAGCTGCTAAATGCAGCTAGTTGAAGTCAGTCCGTGCTTCTCTTCTGAAAATCCGGAAAAATCAGTGGATGGGGGGGGGGCCTTGGTGCTCTCTGAGCTTGGTTGTTTTCTTGCAGACGTTTCATTACCCAGACTAGGTAATATCACCACTCCTAGTGACCAAGGCTAGTTTCGGTAATGAAACGTCTGCAAGAAAAGAACCAAGCCCATTTCAACCTTGAGCTACAAATATTCTTTATTGGTAAAACAATGGATGCCCAGCATGCCAGAGTCTAAAATGGGAATCTATAGCAATGTTTCTCCACCTTGGTGATTTTAAGATGTATGGACCTGTTGGAAGAAACATCCTTCTAGGTTCTGCTCCAAGTGGGGAAAAAGACACTGGAGACATGGAGACTGCTTGGAAAGATGGTTTAATGGTGGACAGGATCACATGGCTTGAGTTCCTGAACAGAAAAGGGCAGCTACAGTAAATCCTCTGGTTTTTATGCTCTCTGGCTCTGCATTTCTTGGGGCCCCAAAAGAGTATCCTGATTGGTTGTCAGACTCCCAGGGGGTGGGGGCCTTGCTGGCTGATGGTCACATGTGCTTCCCAGATCACATGTGGTGAGTTTCTGCTGCTATTGTGTAGAGGGCTAATCCTATCTTTGGCAATTCCTACTATGGCTCTGCCTGAAGGAGGTAGATCTTAGTTATGTAGAGTAGACTGGCCCAGGCCTTAATGGCCCATTGACAAAGGGTGGGGGGCAGGAAGGTGGGAGCTGTTTTCTCTGTAAAATATGCTTCTCATATTTCTCATACAGGGAAATATAATATTCTGCCTTTTTCATATTTCCTAAAATATTTCACTCTTCCAGGAAAGGGGTGGGTGTTAACTTCCTACAGACCCAGAACCCCACACATCTGCCTTAGGCCATTGCGTTGTTTTCTATCCCATGCTTTATTTGCTGCTTCTTACTGGGTGGCAATTCCCACTCCTAAAACCCCACGTGGTTTTTGATATTTGGCCACTGATGCCTCCATTGGTTCTCACAGGACTGTGTGCTCCATCTATAGTGTTAAAACTTTATAAACACATGAAAGAGAAGCCGGTATACTGCAAAGCAGCACACTAGCCTCCAGCATTATCTGGACCCATCAGTCTTTCCCCAGTGCTGAGTGAACTGCTTTTCCCCCCATGCTTGAATTGACCAAAAGCAATAAAGGTAGTCCTCATTTAGTGACCACAATTAGGATCACAACTTGATTATTTAGCAAAATGGTAACTAAATGGAAAATTACATGACTATGACTGTCCTTATGATTTTGCTCCAGAGTTTTCCTTTACTATGTCAGAAGATCCCAAGCAGTTGGGGGATGACAAAGAAACTTGCCTCCCAAGAAATCAGGTGAGAGGACAAATCTTATATTCCTTTTTCCCTACTCCCCCACTCTGGTGGAATGCTTACTGGGATAATCAGTAAGAGGGGAATTGTTTATATTTGATTTTTTTTTGAGAGGAAGGGATTACAAGAGAATAAGCAAGCACACAACAGGGAATAGACATCAAAAGGAATGCCCAAGTGCCAGCTCTTTGCCTAGCACAGTCATAGCTGCAAACCAGAGGCAAACAAAAGCCTTTAGTGTGAAACTGATTAGGGTCTTGTCAGTGTTAGGCAGGAGCGGCAAACTATGGTAATTAAGCTGAAGGAGCTGAGTTTATTAACTTGCAGTTAGCACTTTTTAGCGCTCCCCTGTGCTGAGGAAAAAAAGCAGCTCAGGAAGAGATAGCTTGTTTAAATAATCTCTCCACTCTGGGAGGAAGAGAAAAATTTTAAAATAGGTCAGGCACAGGTCAATTAGTACACAAAAACTTGTACTAATTGGCTGTAAAATGATGAATACATTGGTTGCAAAGTTACTTTTTTATCACCATTGTGAATGCAAACTGTTCGAGGCAGTTGCTAAATGAGGACTATCTGTACTCGCATGAGAGTTTCTGTCTGAGTATTGATTCCCATCCTACCTCTATTGCGTGTATTTAAATACATTAAATATCTGGGCAACTCTAACAAAATAGGGGACTATAGAACATCATGGATACCAGGGGTGCTATTCAGCAGGTTCTGACAGGTTCTGGAGAACCGGTAGCAGAAATTTTGAGTAGTTCAGAGAACTGACAAATGCCACTTCTGGCTGGCCCCAGAGTGGAGTGGAAATGGGGATTTTGCAGTATCCTTCCCCTGCCACACCTACCATGCCACGCCCACCAAGCCATGTCCACAGAACCATGTCCACAGAACAGAAAATTTGAATTCCACCACTAATGGATACACAATAGAAGAGAGATGCTTGAGCCCTGGTTAGATCCAAACGTGGAAAGGCCCACAGATACCATGATGTTGGGACAACCCAGGGTTTTGTTTAGAAGTGTGCCACTTCCCAAGGGCCTAGGGGAGCAAGAAAGCTGGAGACCAATCATACTAGTTTTGCTTTATAGTTGATGCCACTTTCACTATGCTAGCCATTTTTGAGAATTACAGAAACATGCCAATTGTTCCAGTAAATTTATGCATTTCTGGAGTGTATAAAAGATTATTATTGTTTATTAAATGTATATAGCTGTCCATTTCATATACATGACTGAGTGGCATACAATAAAATGGTCTCAACTCTTGATTTCTATCCCTTGTTTCCTAGCCCTCCAGAACTCCCTCTGTTTGCAGTGCAGAACTTTTGGGTTCCTTCCCTTTTCTCAAATATGAAATACATGAAAAAATAGTAATTTAAGCTCAAAATACTCTTGGCACATTTCATGCATACAGATGAGAAAAGAACATCTGTATATTCTTCTTTGAAAAGCCCAGCTTTATGCATGTGCGGGATGTGGCTCTGCCATCTGTGGCCTTCATCCTTTTGTCATGAGACACAGCATCTTCAGCTAACAAAATATTGCCCTTGTGGATCTGTTGGAAGAAACATCCTTCTAGGTTCTGCTCCAAGTGGGGAAAAAGACACTGGAGACATGGAGACTGCTTGGAAAGATGGTTTAATGGTGGACAGGATCACATGGCTTGAGTTCCTGAACAGAAAAGGGGCAGATACAGTAAATCCTCGGGTTTTTATGCTCTCTCTGGCTCTGCATTTCTTGGGGCCCAGAAAGAGTACTCTGATTGGTTGTCAGACTCCCGGGGGGTGAGGGTCTTGCTGGCTGATGGTCACATGTAATTTTTTTTAAAAAAAATTAATTTGATTTATATGCCACTCTTCTCTGGAGACTCAGGGCGGCTTACAATGCGTTAAGCAATAGCCTTCATACTTTTGTATATTTATACAAAGTCAGCTTATTGCCCCCACAAACTGGGTCCTCATTTAACCTACCTTAGAAAGGATGGAAAGCTGAGTCAACCTTGAGCCTGGTAAGATTGGAACCTGCAGAAATTGCAGGCAGCTGTGTTAATAACAGGGTGCGTTAAACCACTATACTACCAAGGTGTGGTTGCCAAAGATCCAACAAAGATAGGATTAGCGCTCTACACAATCACAGCAGAAACTCACCACATGTGACCTGGGAAGCATGCCAATAAATGTTTAAGCTGACTCAAGGAACGGTAAGTGAACCCTTCAATGCAGCATTGGGGAAAGACTCTCAGAGGACTCTGCTCCCTGGAAGAATGTCATGGGGGCCAGCTCAGCTACAAAAGGTAAGACATCTTGACTTGGGCATCCTCAAGCCAATGAACTTCTTTATATAAATGGGAGGACTTATTCCTCCGCAAAGGATATCAAAGTAAAGGTAAAAGTTTCTCCTGTCCAATTACGTCCAATTCTAGGGGGCGGTGCCCATCTCCGTTTCTTAGCCGAGGGGGCCAGTGTTGTCTGAAGACACTTCTGTGGTCATGTGGCCAGAGTGACTATACACTGAGACACACAGAATTCTGTTACCTTCCCACCAAAGTGGTAACTATTTATCTACCGGTACTCATGTTTGCATATTTTCAAGCTGCTAGGTGGGCAGGATCTTCCAGTGTATTTGAGTGTGCTTATATAATCCAAATCTATGTAATCTAGTTTTAGGCTCAAAATTTCTTTCCAGAAAAAAATCAGGGTTATAGTTTCATAGGGCATTGTAGGAGGCGAACTATGTTAGTCTATGGTGGCTAAAAATCAGGAATCTGGTAGTATCTTTTCTGACCATCACATTTTAATGAAAGGCATAAGCCTTGGTGAACTTCACAGGAGCACTGAACATCAACAGCTTTAGGAAGTTGAAGAAGACGTCTTTCTGTGAGATGTTGGACAAACAGTTTCCAGATATTTCCAGAGCTGCCCCATCTCCCCTTTTCTTTCTCACTTGCTTTCCTTGGTTTGAGCTGTTGCAATTATCTCCCCTTCTCCCCTTTGGGCACAGCCTTTGCTAAAATGTTGGGTGTTCCTTAGGCTGGCTTTGTCTCTTTCTCCAGATTAGGAAGAAGGGGGGTGGGGTGGAGGTCCGGGAAAGGGAAAAAAACCAATTTTTGCTCCAGGGAAACAGGGAGGGGAAGAAAATGAAGCCAGCAGCAGCAGCAGCAGCAACAGCAGCAGCAAATAACTCTGGGCCCACAGCTTTCAAAATTCTTCAGGAAAGAAGCAGAAGATGAACGGACCAGGGAAGGCAGCTTGGAAATTTGAAACAGAAGATGAAGAAAGGGGAATTAGAGTAGGAAGAAAAGAAACAGCCCTTGAGTTTAGGGAGGAGTGACAAACCAGAACAAAGACCCAGCTTTTGGGGGGGTAGGGGTGGGTGGGGGAAGGGTTCATGAGTTTAGACAACTAGGAATTATTTTTTGCACCAACTGTGGATGCTGAAGTTAATGGAGGCAGCATTCTTCACTACCCCCAGTGAAAACAAACAGGTTAAAAGCCAATCAGAGCAAGCACAGTTTGGTCCAGATCCTAGGCAGAACAAAAATGAATTAATCAATACGGCAGAATCCAACATAATAGCTAGTGGTATGAAAGGACCAAGCCATGAAATAATTTGGATGCAAATATACAGGAAAAACGTTAACACTTTATATGAAAACATTTATGAATTCTTAATGAAAAGGGTAGAAGATTAGGAAGACAGACAAGGGCTCCTGCAGCAAATGGACTCTAGTGTTTTCCTTCAATCTGTGCACTGACAGACAAATATGCTGTCATACTAGCATACATTGCGACATGCTGCATTTGGACTGATTTAACATGCAAAGTACTTTTGAATAATTTTCATTTTTGCACAGTCACCAGAGATTTTCTGGTAATAACAGGGATGTGGTTTGCCACTACCTTCTGTGATTCCCCCCCCCCCAGTTTTTTAGTCTAGGTTACCACATACTATTTCCTGGTCCTCTTACACATTTTGACTGTTTAATTTTTCATATATAATCAAAACTTTTAATAAGATAAAAACTAACACAAGCTAGTATAAAGCAAGGAAGAAAAAAGAAAAAAATCAAAACAAAAGCAAAAAGTGAAAAGTGAAAGAAAAGAAAAAGTAAAGAAAAATAGAAAAGAAAGAAAAAAGATAAAGAAATGGCTTTAGATATAAGTATTAATATATTTTAACTTCTCTCTCTATATGTCTACAGAGATTCTCAGTCATTCAGGTCATGATAGTCCCAAAGAGGCTTTTTTTCAAGAGGCAACTGGACTTTCTGGTTTTTCTTTGAAGACGTTTCACTTCTCATCCAAGAAGCTTTTCCAGCTCTCTCTTAGGTTACATCATATTGCTCTTCTTTATATAATCTATCTGGTCTAATCATTAAAACAACCTTGTTTAACTTCAAAATCAAGCAAAATCAGTTGAGTGCTGCTGCCTGCACCTACCTGCCACAAAGACTGCAAGACAATTTCTCCCATATTATTTATGACTCATCCACGGCCACCACTTTGGTCTTTAGCCAATTTGGTCTTATGGTTTCCAGGCTGGAAACCATGAGACCGTATTGTTGTTTATATTGCCACAAAGAATTGTTTCTGGTGGGTTAGAAGTAGAATTAAATAGAAAGAGAGACAGAAAGTTAGAAAAATAGAAAAGAGCATGCTAATTTTCTTTGTACAAATGATAGGCACTGTTAGTGAAATAAGATAGCTTTGGGTGCCATCTGGTGACCACATCTACACATTGCAGTTGAAATACATATTGTAAAATAAAGATCTATTTTCTCTTTTAGCACATGAACCAATATTATAGTTCAGGATTAGCACCCAGTCAGCTGGAATAATATTTGGAGGAACTGTGATTTCAATGAACATTCAGTGAACAATCTATCAACAAAGTAATTAATAGTAAAGGAAATTTTCTGCTTGGAAAAAAAAATCAAAGCATCATACTTATTAGAGAGAGCAGTAGGTCACCATTGCCATTTATACCTTGGCTACTAGAAATTCATGAATTAATTCCAAAGCAGAATTTTATACAATTACTATGTGGTACAATATTAGGGAAGAAAGAGTTGGGTTCAAATGCCATGACATTTTCTGAGTGAAACTGGACCAGTGGCTATTCTAGCTGAATTTGTATATGTAATTCTGCAATCTTAGAAATAAAGGTAGGATTAAAGTAGTAGTTACTGTAAATGGTTTGAGGTTTCAGTTTTGAGTCACCAGAGACGTGGATAGAATAAAGGAATGTAGACCTGGCATTTTGCATGATTCTTTCAACTCTCAATTCCTCTAAAACAGGAAACTATACCTTGAAGGAAGCCTGGTAAAAAAGACATCTTTACTTTTTTTTTTTTTTTTCATAGTGAATGAACAGAATATATGAAAATAGAATCCGGGCCCAAACATTCCCAACTTGACACTCTGCATACTGTTATGTTGGGAAGTTGTGGTCTGGGGAAGATTTATACATTTGTGACTATTTTTCTTAAGTTGAGCACTGTGGCTTGAGGTAAGATAAGGAAGAGGGTAAGAAGAAAAAGGTAGTTAATTTCAATTAATTCAGGTCTCCAGGGCCAGTTGGTACACCTCAGTGTATCGAAGGAACTAGTAGAAGTGAACATAGACCCACTCTTAATAATCTTTGTGAACACTTGAAGAGGCATACTACAAATAACAGTGGGCAGATTATATCAAATTAACTTCTTTGAAAGAGTCATTCCTTTAGAATTTTGAGGACGCACTGAAGACATAGTATATCAAGAAACCATTGACAGACTATCCCATTCTAGTCCCCTTAATTAAATGATAAAATAGGGAGTAGATGAGACCACAGCTGGATGAATTCACAGCTGGTGAATGACTACATGAAAGGGTGCTTCTTAATGTTTCCACTTCAGCTTGAGGGAAAGAATTGAGTCGACTTTCACAGCTCTCGGCCATGTGCGGATGAGTAGTTGAAGGGCCACTTGTTAATCTTGCAGATGATATATATATATAGCTGGGCTAACTTTTTGGATGAAAGACGGAAGACTCAACAAGTCTTGAGCACCAAGATGAAATAAATAAGGTAGAATGTAAGAGAAAAAAAATAATGTTCTACATCTGAATAAGAAAAGTGTAAACCATATATAATATGCATCTTGGAAGTAGTATCTACAAAAAGGATCTAGATGACCTTGTGGGCCATCGGTAAACATGAACTAGATGTGTCATGCAGCTGTTAAAAAAGCAAGTGCTATCTTAGAGTGCATTTACTGGGGAATAGAGACCAAATTGTGGAAATTACAGTAATTGTTCCACTCTTCTCTGCCCTAGTTAGACCTCATGTTGATTATTGCATCCATTTTGGGGCACCATAGTTCAAAATGATCAATGAAAAATTGGAATAAGTTCAGGAAAAGGTTACCATATGATGAAGGTTCTGGCAATCAAGACGTATTAAGAATGATTCAATAGCAATAGCAGTTAGGCTTACATACTGCCCCATAGTGTTTTACAGCATTCTCTGGTGGCTTCCAATATAAATATTTGCATATTTTCCCCAATAACCTGAGCCTTCATTTTACTGCTCTCAGAAGGATGGAAAGCTGAGTCAAACTTGAGCCTCGTCAGGATTTAATTCCAGGCTGTGGGCAGAGTTTGCCTGCAATACTTCATTTTAATCACTATGCCAAGGCAATGTTCTGAGAATGTCTAAACCTACAGAAAAGATGTCTAAGGGGAAATATGTTAACACTCTTGAATTATGTGAACAGTAGTCACATAGAAGTAGATCTATTCATTATTGCATCTGGGGGCTGCCAAGGTTAAGCAAAGCTGGTTTAGCCAACGCCTTTTACAGGAAGCACAAGAGAAGTTTGGAGTTGATCTAAGCTCCAGCCAGCCAGCCTGGCTTGTCCCCTTTCATGTTTTATTTTTATTTTATTTATTAGTTAGGGTTGAGTATTTATCATTATATATTATTTAGTTTGAATTGTATGTAGGTTTTGTAAACAATTTTTTTAAAAAATATTGTAAACCACCCAGAGTTGCCCTGAGACAAGATGGGTGATCAATAAAATTAATAATAAATAAATAAATTGCCTTAGAAGGTTAGGATCAGAGCCAGTGGGTTAAAACTATAAGGGAGCATTTCAGCCAGGTTAGAATCAGGAGAAACTTCCTGAGTGTGCTGTCAGCAAGTGGAACAAACTGTCACATCAAGTGATGAGTTCTTCATTAGGAGATCTTCAAATGGAGGCTGGATGATCAACGATGTTCTAGTAGATCCTGCATTGGGCAAGGAGTTGAACTAGATGATCTAAGGGCCTTTCTAACCTAAAGTTGAATTCCCTTGTATATTTCAGAAGTCGGAAACTCATCTTTAGATACAAATATATATTTTCTTTGAACATATACAATTTGTGCTATCAGTTGCCATATAACCTCATAGATATCTGGACTGCATAAATTCAACATTGTGTTTGTGTGAACAATAAGGAAATACAATAAAGACTTGGGAAATTTATTCAAGAATTCAATAATAACTTATCTTATTCAAAGACATTATGTCAGCAGTTAAAAACAACCCAACACCCTAGAACATAGGTGTCAAACTCACCATGTCACATGGCCATAATGTGACATCGCAACATTTTTTGTCTTCACAGAGCTGGGGTGGGCTTGGCCTGTGCGTGACACATCTGGCCTGTGGGCCGCCAGTTTGTCCCACCTGCCCTAGAAGGTATCCCAGAGAGGAGCATTGCTTATTCACTTTGCATTTGTTTATGGCTTGTGCTTTTTTTCATTTTAGTCCTTTCTTCATTAGCAAAGAATTGATCAATGACCCAAAACCATATTAGCAGCTTCTCAACAATGTCATATAATCCTTCATCAATGCATCATTATGTCTTCAGCATTGCATAGACATATCACAATATTGTGACTTTATTGTGAAGGCCCATTGACTAAGTTCAATGTATGAAGATCAGAATTCTCTGAAACAGATGGTGACTACCAGAGAAAGGGAATGTTTCAGTGCATTTGAAAATGTTATCCACTTTCCATTCAGGTCTTTTAAAGAAGCCACACAAACTTTCAATAGTGAAGGGCAGTAATATTGTCTTCTTTATTTCCCAACATGTGTGTTTCTGATATCACTGGGATTCATCTGACGAATGAATTCCACACACTCTACATGTGCGATACATCTCACGCCTGACATTTTCACCAGCCAGCACATAGATAAATGGATCTGCAATGCTCTTGGCAGTGGAAAAGCACAGAAAGATCACAGAAGTAGTATATATGTTTTTCTCAAATGTGCATACCTGATCTCGGTGCTGAAAGAAGATAATGGCTCTCACAAGGAGCACAAAATGGTAGGGAGCAAAGCACAGTACAAATACAGAAATGATGGCAATTGCCACGTTTCTCACTTTAGCTTTCTGGTCTGGATTGAGGCTGCAGCTGGTCTTAATACTTCGAAAAATTCTATAGTTTGTGAAAAGAAGGAGCCCCAAAGGAATGAGAAATCCCAAGAAGAACCGGCTGATATTGTAAAGGGCCAAATTGAAATTGAGGGGAGTTTCAAAGCAAGTTGCTGTGTTTTTTTCCTGGATATTTTTGTTGAAAAACACAGGGCAATAGATTGCAGCAATGATGCCAAAGAAGGCGACTGTGACCATAGTAGCAGTCCTTTGGGACCTGAAGCATTTCCCTCTGCTTTCCAGTGCACGTACCACAGCCTTGTAGTGATCGATAGAAATGCAGCACAGGAGAAGAATGCTGATGTAGATGTTGCAGAAAAAGATATATCCAGTCACCAGGCATGACGGTATCCCCATATTCCAACGATGGCCATTTTTCACATAGATAATCCAGAGGGGAAGGGTGCTCAGGTACATAATGTTGCACAGGGACAGGCCAAACAGGTAGATGGCTGTGATATTTTTTTTCCAAATTTGTACGAGTGTCACAAAAGCAGTCAGGCAGTTAGCTGGTAGGCCTATGGCAAAAATGAAGCTGTACACAACAATCAGGAGCTCGCGGCTTTCTTCGAATGGCAGGTCTGTGGAATTGCACATACTGCTGATACCCATGAGGTCAGTCCACAAATGCTTCCTTCCTTTGGAGCCCCTGTTAACCTAAAAGCAAAATAGGTTTGGTTAGGTAATCTAATCTACTTTCAAGTTCATTCCTAAAAGCCGCAATTTCTGCACAAGCACAGGTGTTCCTGATGGCATGGAATAGTTTTTTAAATTTAGGCTGATTTGTCAACTATGACATTAGCTCTGTGAAAACAGCTTAGCTTCATTCACCCAGGCAATCTTTTGTATAGATCACTGCAATACATTATGGATATCACAATAAAGGCAAGTTGGAAGTTTCAATTTGATGCAACTTATAGAAACTTGGGTACTGACTGGGATTGAGGATTATGCTATATTAAACTAATATTGCATCATCTTCATAGGCCTATAATTCACTTCTGGACTGAGTTCAAGGTGCTGGCAATAACCTTCAAAAGCTTTGACCATAATACCAAAAGAAACTTTACTTCCTGGGTATGCTGGTTTATTGAGTCCTGGCATATGGTTAATTGAGAGCAGGAGTTCTCAATAACAGTTTTCTGGATAAAGCATTTCACTTCCATAGAGATCCATCTAGAGCAGTGGGCCAGATGTGTCAGGCGTTGGCCATGCCAACTCCTGGTTTAGCGAAGGGAGAAAAAAATGTGATATGTCATGTGATGACAATGTGTCATTGCAAGTTTGACACCCCTGATCTAGAGTATACTCTGTTATTCTAGGAAGTGATGCAGAATAATAGTATACGATGTTTACTAAGAGTTGTTCTGCCTCTGCTGACTAGAAACCAGGACACTGAGCTCTAATCGTGTTTTAGGCATGAAAGCTAATTGGGTGACTTTGGGCCAGTCACTTTCTCTCAGCCCAACCCAAAGGGTTGTTCTTATGGGGAAAAAGAGGAAGAGGAAGGAGTATTATGTAAATTCACCACTTTGAGTTACTTATAAAGTAATAAAAGTGGGATAAAAATCTTATAAACAGATAAATCATTGGAACATATCAGTGTTCTTTAGTGATCTTTCCCTCCAGAAGGAAACCTGATTCATGTGGAATTGTCACCGGGTTGATTGCAGGGTGTGTGTGTTGTGTGTGTCTCAAAACTTCAGTTGAGGTTTCTGTCATGTATCAACATCATTTTCATTATTATCTTCTGTAGAAACTATGTTATTACCCTAGAGCAGGGTTCTCCATCTTGGCCACTTTAAGAAGGATTCAACTCCCAGAATTCTCCAGTCAAGTCTATTCATCTTAAAGAGGCAAAGATGGAAAAGCACGGCCCTTTAGGAACATCAGTGCTTGCAACTCTTGAGGTGAATGTACACTTTCTTCTAATTCAGGACTGTAAGCGCACAACAAAATGGCTGGATTAAAGTATCTCCTCTACTCCTTGAGTCTTAACATATCCTGCCCCAGTTGCCCAGCCCTCTTCTGCCTCAGTGAGGAGGCCAGAAAGTTAAAGGCCTTAACAATACTTTAATGATGTGAAACAAATGAAAGAAAGCAACTGGAAATTCCCTTGGATTTCTTCCTCCTCCCACAAGCCAGCATTGTTGCAGCTCAGGTAGAAGATGGATCTTGCTTACTACTGACAGTTCCCTCTTAATTCACCCTGTGCTCTTCTGTGCCTGCAGCCTGACAGTTGGGCTAATTTTTGGTACAGGCTTAGCACTCTTTCAGAAAAGGATTAGACCTGTGTTCAAACTTACCCTGGCTGACAAGTTGCAGGTACAAAGGATTTCCACACCAGCCACTTGTTAGATGGGCAACCTGATAAGCTATTAACCCCAATGTTCCAAGCATCTGCTCATCTTGTTTCAACCCAAGAAACTAAGTTAGAAGAAGTTATTGGTATCTCTTCCTGTTATAGAACCAGGTGTCTTTTTTTTTTTTTTTGGTAGCTCAAGTCAAAATGGCCATGGAGGGCATAGGTTGAAAGGGAGTGCTTCTCTGGTTTAAAATGGTCAATGGGCAGATTTATTTATTTATTTATTTATTTGATTTGTATACCGCCCTTCTCCAGCAGGACTCAGGGCGGTGAACAGCCGAGATAAAACAGCATACAAAATTTAAAAAACAGTTTAAAAAGTAATTAAATAATTTCGGCCCACAATTTAAAACAACCCAATTAAAAACAATTTCAAATTAAAACCGAAATGGATGGGATCAAGCCAGCCCGGCTAGGTGAAATAAATGAGTTTTCAGGGCCCGACGAAAAGTCCGGAGGTCTGGTATCGTGCGTATCTCTGGGGGGAGGTCGTTCCAGAGGGCCGGTGCTGCCACAGAGAAGGCTCTCCCCCTGGGGGTCGCCAGCCTACATTGTCTGGCAGACGGCACCCTGAGGAGGCCCTCTCTGTGCGAGCGTACTGGCCGGTGGGAGGCTATTGGTGGCAGAAGGCAGTCTTGTAGATACCCCGGCCCTAAGCCATGGAGCGCTTTAAAGGTGGTCACCAACACCTTGAAGCGCACCCGGAAGACCACCGGGAGCCAGTGCAGCTCGCTGGAAGGGAGGTGTCACATGGGAGCGCCCCGTTGCTCCCATAATCCACCGCGTGGCTGCATTCTGGACCAGCTGGAGCCTCCGGGTGCACCCCAGGGGGAGCCCCATGTAGAGAGCATTGCAGTAGTCCAGGTGGGAAGTCAACATGATTCCATCAGCAACTACACCAATGAACAAGGATCAAAATTTCAGCTCTTATTTTTGTTTGCGGTGAGGATAAAAAGACAAAAGGGGTAAGTCAAACTTTGCAGATTGTAGGATATTTGTTTTAAACTTTGGGGTGGAAATGAGTACTTGAAATCAATGAAACTGCATCTGTTTGGAATTGAGCTGGAGAACATAAGTAATCTACTCATTATGCTTTCTGCCATGGAGCCTAGATCAAGACTTTGAGATCATTTCTCAACAGTATCTATGGAGATTCTTGGTCATCCTGGTCATGGTTGTCCCAAAGGGGGTTTTTCAAGAGGCAACTGGACTTTCTGGTTTTTCTTTGAAGATGTTTCACTTCTCATCCAAGAAGCTTCTTCTTCTTGGATAAGAAGTGAAACGTCTGAAAAAGATTCTTGGATGAGAAGCAAAACGTCTTCAAAGAAAAACCAGAAAGTCCAGTTGCCTCTTGAAAAAGCACCTTTGGAATTTTTCAACAATCATTCTCTCAGAAACAACATTGCATGAGGTGTGTGGAAGGGCTGAAATCAGAAGTCAGGCATCAAAAGCCCAAGGCTCCTGAATTGCAGCTGTTTGCAGTGTACCACTACAATCTGCCAAATATGCAAAGGTACCTTTTGAGACCAATCAGTGCATAATGTAAACAGCATAGAGGTACTTTCCCTGGAGGTAGAAAAATTTGAACACCTCTGACTAAAATTAATTCCAGCTAGACCTATTGTAGCAACTTCAACAAGGAATCCTCCTGATGTCTTAAAGACTCATAGTATTTGGACCTAAGGTTTCATAGACTGCTCCTGTAACCCGCCAGATGTTAATGAAGCTCAGCTACCATGGCCAGTGGGGAAAGATACTGGAAACTACAATTCAGCAGCAACTGGAAAGCCACAGAATGTGAAGCAGAGGCCACTTTGCCAATGCACTGTTTCAATGAAGATAATATACAGCTGAATATATATGTTGGAGCAGACTCCCTAATATATATAAAAAATATTGTGGCCACTTGGATTTCCCCAATCTGATGTTCTCCAAATATGCTGCATGTACAGATTCTGGGAGCTAAAGGGCATCAAGTTGAAGGAAGTTTCATTCTCTTTGCTTTGAACTGGTATTGCTATCTTTTACAATAGTGTGATAGAAAATATGAAAGGCAAAAGGAAGTGAAAAGGGTGGAGATTACATAGGGTTGTTCAGGCCTCTTGCAAAACTAGCACAGAAGTTGATGATGCAAAAACTGTTGCAACACATTGAGGCCCCTAATGTCTCAGTTTGAGAAAGGCAGTTTTCAAACCATATAGCCCAGCCTGGCACTCTCTTGATGAATTAGACTGCAGTGCCCATAAATCTGGCTAGGTTCAATGAGGGGTATCCTAGTCTAAATAGAGTAGAAGAAGCCTATTCTACTGCAGCCAATATGAAACATCTTAATATTGTGTGGAGTAATAGAAAAATATTGTAGTATATCTTGCAGTCCTGGAGTAAGCCCAATTTTATTTATTTATTTAGTTGTATCTCACTTTTATTATTTTTACAAATAAGTTGGCAAACATAACCAACACACCTTCCTCCACCTATTTTCCCCACAACAACAACAACCCTGTGAGGTCATTGGGCTGAGAAAGTGCCTGGCTCAAAGTCACCTAGCTGGCTTTCATTGCTAAGGAGAGATTAGAACTCACAGTCTCCCACTTTCTAACGTGGTGCCTTAACCATTAGAGAAAACTGGCCAGTTGATTTATTTATTTGTCATATTTATATAGCTGCTCATCTCAGAAACAAGTGACTTTGGCTGGTGTATAACAAAACTAAAAAACAATGAATATTTTAAAAACAATAAATATTATTTTAAAAGCTCTAAAATTTTCAAAAGCCTAAAGCTAAAAGAGAAAAATAAATATTGGATGAAGACCATGTATTAAAAAGAGTGGAGCAATCTCAATATTTTACCAATCTCCTGGAGCCTCCATCCTGGTGGTGCAACCAGGTCTTGGGGGACTTCTGGGAAGTCAAAAGGATGAAGCTTTCCAGACAGTAATTACCACAGCAGAAAAGGCCTTCTGCTTTGGACCTTCCAAATGTGGTACTCTAGTTGATGGGTCCCGCAGCATGCCTTCTCTGCTGGACCTTATGTGACATGTAGATGTAATTGGAGAGAAGCAATCCCTCAAATAATTTGATCCCATACCATGTAGGACTTTTTAAGGTAAAAACCAGGACCTTGAATTGGCAACTGGTAACCAATCCAGCTTGCAGAGCAGATGTTTAACATGTTCTTCTAGAAACAAACAAAACTACTCATGCTGTTGCATTCTTTGCCAGGAAGGGCAGTCTCATGTACAGTGCATTACAATAGTCTAACTGGGAGAAGACTAGGGCATGAGTGATCTGAGTAAAGCCCCTCGATCTAGGAACAAGGCAAGTGGTACACAACATGAATTTGAGCAAAGGTCCTTCTAACTATGATTGCCACTGGCCTTCGAGTAGGGCATGTAAGTCTAGGAGGACTCCCCAGATTGTACACGGCTTGTCTAGGACAGTGCAAAACCATCCAACGTTAAAGATGGGATTGTTTTAGAGCTGGCAAGCCCCCAAACCCAAAGTCACTCAATCTTGCCAACATTTGGTTGAACCTGTTGTTCCTCATCTGGACTCTTATAGCCTCCAGGCACTGGGATAAGATGTCCATAGCATTGCTTAATTTGCCAGAGTGAGAGATGTATAATTGGGCATCATCATGATACCACATGATACCTCATCCCATGGCAATGAAAGAGCTTACCCAGAAGTCTCATACAGATGTTGAA